AAAATAACCACGAAGGATGGTCTGAAAATTAAATATTGAACTACAAGCAGGTTATGGTGGGTAGTCATGTCCTAGGCCAGTATTTTCCCTGACAAAGATCAACTCTGATCTTTACTGAGCCTTTTGTCTTTTTGCATCTAAAATAACATACCTGTGAAATGTCTGGGTAACTTGTAACTTCCCTTTTTCCGGACCCCTCTGGGCACAACAAATGGCACTCCCTCATTGTTATTATCGTGTTAATCATCACCTGTTAACTATGTTAACTATCCTGTACCCATCTGTGTAAAAGAAGCATATGTCCATCATTTCACTTTTTATCCAATCCCAGAGGTTCCCCCCCTCTTTGCTTTCTCCCACCTCCCTAATCTGTCACCAATGAATTTCATGTAACTCACGTATTTTCCTTTGATGGTAATTTATGAAAACAAGGTATGAACTCCCCATTCTCTGGAGCATAACCTAATCCAGGGGTCCTCAAACTTTTTAAACAGGGGGCCAGTTCACTGTCCCTCAGACTGTTGGAGGGCCGGACTATAGTTTAAAAAAAAAACTATGAACAAATTCCTATGCACACTGCACATATCTTATTTTGAAGTAAAAAAAACAAAACGGGAACAAATACAATATTTGTATTTGCATGTGGCCCGCGGGCCGTAGTTTGAGGACCCCTGAGTCCTAATCTGTTGAGAGTCTGCTTCCTGGTAATTGTCAACAGATTGGCTCAAATAAACTCACAAAATTCTTTACAGGTTTGAATGGTTTTTATGATAACACGGTCAAAGGCCCATTGGGGCCCGTGCAGGAGGCAACCCATGGATGTGTTTCTCTCACACTGATGTTTCTCTCTGTCTTTCCCTCTCTTTTCACTCTCTCTAAAAGTCAATGGAAAAATATCCTTGGGTGAGGATTTTTAAAAAATAGATAGATAGATATAGACAGAGAGGAAGGGAGAAATATCCCTGTAAGAAACATCCATCGGTTGCCTCCCATATGACCAGAATGGGTCACTTTCCCCTGGCCCTTCTCCTGGATTGCCCTCCTGGTAGGTGGCACTGTCATCCCTCGGCTGGGAAGGCTGGTACTCTCTCCCTCATGCTCTGCCCCCCAAGCAAGACAACCTATCAGGGCCTCCTCCGTGGCTCTCCAGCCCCCACTTTGGACCCTACCAGTCCATCCTCATGGCCCTGGGGGGAGTTTTGTGTAATGATGCTGACCATGTCCCTCCTCTTCATGAATCCATCTCCGACCTCCCAACCTGTGATGAATCTGAAACCCTCACTGTGGCCTCCAGGCCCTGAGCCACCCACATCTGCTCACCATTCCTGCCACTGGTCTTCCTGCCCGGCTCCATCCGGGCCCTGGGCTCAATCCTCTCACCCACTATCCTCACCCTTCAGCGGTTCTCAACCTGTGGGTCGCGACCCCCTTGGGGGTCGAACGACCCTTTCACAGGGGTCGCCTAAGACCATCGGAAAACACATATATAATTACATATTGTTTTTGTGATTAATCACTATGCTTTAATTATGTTCAATTTGTAACAATGAAAATACATCCTGCATATCAGATATTTACATTACGATTCATAACAGTAGCAAAATTACAGTTAGGAAGTAGCAACGAAAATAATTTTATGGTTGGGGGTCACCACAACATGAGGAACTGTATTAAAGGGTCGCGGCATCAGGAAGGTTGAGAACTACTGCTCTAGGGGCTTTCTCAGGCTGCCCTCCGTGAGCCAGGCCCCTGTCAGACCCTGTGGGCAGCCCTTTGCCCCAGCTTTCATGGACTTACCAGTCAGGAAGTTCCGTGTTTCCTGTCTAGCCCTGGGAGGCCAGCGCTGTGACTTGTTTATCACTAGATCCCAGGCACCCTGCTCTGGACAGACTTTAAGGTCTTCAAGAAGTGAAGGGGCCGGAAAGTGGCAGGAGAGAGAGGAGAAGGGGTAGAAATGGGGGTGAACCTAGGTGAGAGTTATACCATGTCCCCTGCACCGCTCCTTTAACTTTTATACGAACGTGAAATGTTTCAAAATAAAGAAAATCTTGACACTGCTGGCCCTCGTGTGTGTTCCCGGCTTGGCTCAGCAGGGGCTTCCTGACCCGCGGTACTGAACACCTTCTGGCAGATGACGGCCACTCAGGAGGGAGATGGGCCTTTGCTGTGCCCTCAACCAGCCTCCAGGGGCCACCAAGTCAGCCAGGCCCCTCACTGGGGACGTGAGTGCCCACGCAGCCTGCAGCTTCCCTGGCAGCAGCAGGAGGGGTCAACAATGCCACACTGAAGTTCGGGGAGTGGGCAGGCCCGTCATTCCTCTCTGACCCGCCCAGGCTGGGGCTGCCTGGACACCAGGCTGAGTGGGATGAAGTCACGCCTGGCCTGCCCCCTCTCCTCTCCTCCCCTTCTTCACTCCTGCTTCCCGGGTGGCACTCCGCCATCACACGCTAGATCCTGAGCTACTCCTCCTACGTTCTTATCATCAGACAAAACCTGCCCCGCTAAAGGATGACTCAGAACGGAGGAAAGAGGAATTGGTGGGTAAGGGGAACCTATTTAAATCTGGAATTAAGACAGAAGAACATCTCAAATTATGGCTGCAGAATATAAACGTTACAGACAAACATGCTGTAAAAATAAAACAGCGAAATGGAGAGCTGGCAAGGAAAACGTGCTGGGCAACTAGCTCTCCTGAGACGGTGTCAAGAGATACTGATTACATTTAGAAAATGTGTTTTAAAACACAAGGCCTCTAAACTATCGGATACATGCAGAGGTGTGACGAGATAATGGACTCCCCCCGGAATTTCTAACAGATCAGCATGCCAGACACAGATACTGGCTTCTCCATGACCCCCACACAGATACTGACTCCTTCCTGAATACCTTGCTGACCCCCTGCAGCTGAAACTTCCTCAGCTGAATACCTCAGCTCATGTCCCCGCCCCTCACCCAACCGCAGTATAAAAAAAGCGCCCCCCTCCCTGTTGGCGTGAATCCACGTGCCCTGTCTTTTGGGGTACGTGGGTCTCCTGGGGACGCAGAAATAAACCTTTCCTTTCTTTCTTTTCTGATTCACTCGACTCTTTATTTCTTATGCCGCCTCCTGAGCCACCTAACCTAACAATAAGCCCGGCCGGTGTAGCTAGCTCAGTGATTGAGCGTCGATCTATGAAGCAGGAGGTCACGGTTGGATTCCCAGTCAGGGCACATGCCCGGGTTGTGGGCTCAGTCCCCAGTGTGGGGCATGCAGGAGGCAGCTGATCAATGATTGTCTCTCACCATTGATGTTTCTATCTTTCTCTCCCTCTTCCTTCCTCTCTGAAATTGAAGCAGGAATTTGGGGGAACATAGGCAGGCTTAGGGATTTTTTAGAATTGGGGTCCATGGAAAAACACGGGGCTGCAGACTGCGAGAAGGTACATTTCCATAACGCAAGGAAGCCAGGTGCAGTTACATCTCCATAAGACAGGGGAGCAGCAACAGTTGCATTTACATAAGACAAGGAAACTGGAAGTGTCCCAGAAAGGTCTACATTTACAAAATAAAGAGAAGGAAGCCCTTCATCCAGATGGAAAAGAAAGCCCAGAGGAATGGAAGGACTTGAGGGAGGAGGGCCTTAGGAATCACTATAGTAACCAATTCGAAGGGGAATATTGACCAATCAGAGGGGATATCAGGACACAGGCACTGCAGCCTTAATAAGCCACAGGGAAAAGGAACTCAGTGGGACTCTTTTCCCCTCCCTACGTGGGAGTCTGTAGTTGTTCTTCAATAAATCTCCACCTTTGCTATACCACTTTCTGTCCGTGGATTCATTCTTCGATTCCGGTGGACAAAGAATCCGGGTTCCAGTCCAAAAATTTGGTATAAAAATCAATAAAAATATATTTAAAAATAAGCCATTTCCTTGTGCCCAGTGGCAGTTTACAAATAATGAGGGCCCCTTGTGAGAATCCGGGTTCCAGTCCAAAAATTTGGTATCAAAATCAATAAAAATATATTTTTTAAAAATAAGCCATTTCCTTATTGGAAGCGGCAGTTTACAAATAATGAGGGCCCCTTGCAGTGAGGCAACTGAGGCTGGGGGCCTCTGGGGGACCTGGACTTCTGGTTGAAGCAGAGCTGTGGAGTTCCTCCACTTCCTCCTCCAGCCGTGGCAGCACCCAGGGGCTAGGGAGGGGTTCAGGGTCCTGGTCATCTCAGCCCCCAACCCACCTGGAAGGAACATGATGGGAGCATCACACACTTGTCAGGGGGCCCGCCCCTAGATGGCAGCCCCCGCTCAGCAGAACCCTGGGCCGCAGTGATCGCAGAGCCCTGTGCAGGGGGCTATCAGTCCCATGTGGCTGCCTGGAGGAGGTGAGCCTCGTGAGGCTCCAGCAAGGGGACAGGCCCTGGAGGGAGCCAGGGAGGTGGCTGGATCAGCTTTCTAGGGGGTCAGAGCTGGAGGTCCCACTGTCCCCTTTCAGACCAAGGCAGAAGGAAGGGAACCTCAGAGACCCACCTAGTCTCTTGCCAGGGGCTGGATTTCCAGATTGAAGGAGCCCTTGGGGTGTGAGGTTCTGGGGGATGGAGGCCCTCGAGAGCCCTCCTGAGTCTGAAATAGAGCCCAGTCCAGGCAGCCTGGGGAAGGACCATGTGAGGGCTGGTGGGGTTGGAATTGGGCCTCAAAGGACCCAGAATCCTGGAATTTTTACAACCTGTTCATGATAGGATCTAGCATTTATTTTATTTTATTTTAATCTTTTGTTCCGCTTACAAAAGTAACTTGAGCTTGAGCTGAAAAACATTACACAATGTTGTGAGTGAAAATCATTGGGGACTGGGCCCCAGGCAGAAGAGGTCACAGCCAAGTTCACTGAGCCATCAAGGACGCCGTGCCTGCAGTCGTCAGGGTTACGGAGCCTCGCCGGGCCCCACAGAGGACTCCTCCCCGGCCTCTGTGGGACTGGGAGCTGGCCCCTCTGCCAACCTTCCGTCTTCTTTTCCTTCTGGAAGAGAATGGGGTGGGTCAGGAGGGCTCAGAGGAAAAGGGAGGGGTGAGGGTGTGGCACAGACCCGAGTCCCTGAGCTCTCAGCCCACCAGGGGATGACCTGGGCACCACTGACCGACTTCGAAGATTGCCAACTCCAGACATACGCTCCCAAAGGCCACAGGGGCTGCTAAAGTCATTTCCAGGAAACCTTGGGCCAAATCTGGGCTGAGGACTAGGAAGCTGCTGCTGTCCCCAGTGCCTGGCCAGGGATGGAGCAACGGGTGTGTGTGTGTGTGTGTGTCTGTGTGTGAAGATGGGATGGCAGCCGAGGGGGTTGGTGACTGCTGGAGACCTGCCTAAGGGAGCCTGTGGGGCAGAGAGACAGCCTGGCTCTGCCCTCCATCTCTCCACCTGAGGAAGGCTGGCTTTTGTTCGCATCCTCACAATAGCGTGTATGGGGTAGAGCCTATCTGGCCCAAGAACCTGGGCAGATGCCCAAGCTGAGGTCTCAGAGAGGGTGGAAAAGGCCATGGAGCTGACCCAACCCACTGAGTTGAGTGGGAAGATGGTCTCTGAGCCAGATGTCCCCCCTTCACCCTCTGCAGGGATCAGCTGGTGGCCTCAGGGTAGTAACTTGGCCTCTCTGAACCCTGCTTCCCAACAGGTCACAGGACAGCACCCTCCACCCCCTGGGCTGGCAGGAGGAAGCAGGTATACATACACATGGAGGCCCTGAACCAGAACTGGCTGGTGGAAGCGCTCACAGGGTACACTGGGCACACTGCAGGTTCTGGGGAGATGGGGTCCCCAACTCCCTGATTACAGCTCCTATCCAACAGGGGATGGAGGTGAGGGGTTCCTCAGGCCTGTAGCTGGGGTGCCCCGTCTCAGGAGCCTTAATGTCTCAACCTTGGGGAAGTAGTAGGGCCCCCCCCCCCCACCCCTGACTTCAGAGCACTCACCACTGTCTCCATCAGTGCGGAGGGGTCCCTTGTACTGCCCAGCTACCTGGTGGAAACCAAGGAGCTTTGGCTTCCCTTTCCCGGGACTGGCTACCAAGCCCAGTGCCCTGACTGACTCCAAGGAGGCCCCTGTTCATACGCAGCAAATAGGGCCAACTGCTGTGGCTTTTATTTTCTCTATCTTCTCAGGGCACAGCAGACCCTGTTTCTGGTTGGGAAGAAACCTCAGCTCATCTCCTTCCCAGCTACTAGGCATCCCCTCCCCCAGGCGTCCCTCAGGTTTCCAAGTTTCACTGTCACCTGCACCAAGCCTGGGGCTCCAAATAGACTTTGGCACAGAAATATGCACACATAGACCCCCCCGAACACATAAATACAGAAATACACAAGAGCAGGCAATGGACAGCCCTCGCCAGTTGCTCACTGGTCAGAGCATCAGCTCTCAGACAGAAGGGCCGTGGGGTCGATCCCCCTTCAAGCGCACATACCTTGGTTGCAGGCTCGATCCCTAGTCTGGGTCAGGGGGTGTGCAGGAGGCAACCAATCAATGTGTCTCTCTTACATCAATGTTTTCTTTTCTCTCCCTCCCCTTCCTCCCGCCCTTCCATTCTCTAAAAATCAGTGGAAAGGGTGAGGATTTAAAAAAAAAAAGAGCAGGCATGGACAGAAATAGGGACAGGGACATGGACACACACACAGACATACCCTCCCAGGCAAATACATATGTAGACACAGAACCCTAGACACACATGCATGGAGGCTACAGACTCGCAGAGAAGAGAGAGAGACTGCATGCAGACATGCTCACAGCACAGACATGCTCTTTCTAGAGCCAGCCAAGCCTGTCTGTCCCCTCGGCTGTGCGGGTGTCAGGGGACTTGCAGCCCCAGGGAGGTCATGCTCAGTTTTGCTCGCTGGGACGAGGGACTCACCTGTGTCCAGCTTCCTGCGTTTCTGCTCAGGCTCCGGGGGGGCTGCCTCAATGGCACGCTGGGCCTCGGGATGGATCTTGAGGAGGGCCTTGGCCAGGGTGGTGGGGCCGGGCACCCCCAGGGACATGATGCAGTGCACTCCTCTGCGCTTGGCTGCAGCCACTTTGTCACTGTCTTTGGACGCTGTCAGCAGGACCAGTTTGGAGAACTTCCTGGGCTTGGGCTTCCTGGGAGCTGAAGGGACGACATCTGTGCCCGGCTCAGGGGACTGTGGGGACGGCTCCTGGCCGGCCTTCACACTCTCGCCCTCCTGCTCGCTGGGCTCAGGCAGGGGCATTGTGGGACCAATGGCCTGTCCCCCAGGCCACACTCAAGCTCCAGGAGATGGATTTCTTCTCCTGATTCCTGGCAAGGAGCCTGGCAGTCCAGGGGCTCTGTCCTAAGGGAGAAAGCAAACCCCCATCAGTGAAGCCTGGGCTCAAGGAGAATGGATCTGGGGCGCAGTTTGGGCAGATGGGGCACCAAGATGGGCAAGGACCTGAACAGAGCTGGAGAAGCCTGGGCCGGTGCTTCTGCTTGGCCAGCTCCTCACTTCGCAGCAGTGAGCATGTCACCTCCTCCATCCAAACCTCACTTCCCCATGTGTAAATGTGCTTTTACAATTAAGCCCTGCCCTTGCGGGGGAGGCTGCTGGGGATTAAGATACTGATAACTGAGTTACTACAAATCCAGGTGCTTGGGTGCTGAGCCTGAAGCGAAGTGTTTCATGGTTTTTTCCATTTAACCTTCCAGCCCCATGTTATGAAAGTCCTCCATTCTCACTGACCCAGGTTACAGATGAGGACACTGAGCCTCCCAGAGCGACCAGCACAGCCATGAAGCGGCAGAGCTGGGAGGCCAGCTGAGGCCGAGCTGGAGCCCACCCCACACGGCGCCTGGCGTGCCTTGTCCAGGATAACACTCACTGGCGTTCCTGAGCACCAAGCATCAGAGACAAGCACTGGGGACATGAGCTCAGGTCACTGACCTTCCCAGGGTTCCCCGCGCCCTCTCACCCTGACACTCTGCAGACCACAGAGTTCCTGGCCCTGAGAGGCGTGACTCTCTGGACTCACAACTAGATCCTGTGCCCACCCCAGGCGGGAGGCCTGGGGCCACCCAGAGCTCAGGAGGTGCCAGGGCCCCATGAAGGCAGCGATCTGACCTTGTGCTTGAGCTGGTGCTGGCGCTGCCTCAGCTGGGCGGGGACAGGGCTGTGAAGCTGTCCAGAGAATCTGTGGTCACTGAGGGCTCCCTGGCTTCTGGCCTGAAGAAGCATAAAGGACAGATTACGGGGATGGGGCTGGTCTGAAGACCATGGCCCTGGGGCACAAGCATGGGGTGGCCTTTTTTGTTTGGGGGGCAAGTGGGTGGTGAGCGGATGGCAGGTCTTCCCAGTTTACCGTGTTAGCCCAGAACTAATGCTGCTGCCTGGGGAGACTCTTGCCTGCCCTGCCCACGCGCAGCAAAGCCCACACATGCCCACTTGCACCCTCAGTTCTCACTGTTTCCTTTTTCCTGTGTCCTCACATGGTCTTCCCTGTGTGTCTATATCCTAAAGGCCCTTTCCCTAACACAGCCACATTCTGAGGTCCTGAGAGTTAGAGCTTCAACACATGGGTCTGGGGGCAGGCACAATTCAGTCCACAGCAGCACAGAACACGGTGAGTGCCTAATAAATCATAGCGTGTGGTGTCTCTATATCTCGATCCCAAACTTCCATGCACATTCAAACCGAGAGCACGTCCCGGAAGGCAGGAGCGCGCAGGGCCTGCACATGACACTAGGACAGCGGTTCTCAACCTGTGGGTCGCGACCCCTTTGGCGGTCGAACGACCCTTTCACAGGGGTCGCCTAAGACCATCCTGCATATCAGATATTTACATTATGATTCATAACAGAAGCAACATTACAGTTATGAGGTAGCAACGAAAATAATTGTATGGTTGGGTCACAACATGAGGAACTGTATTTAAAGGGCCAGAAGGTTGAGAACCACTGCTCTAGGGGCTATTTACTCAGTTAGGAGCCCTCAAACCAGCTGGATCTTCACGCAAATGCCACCACAGTTCCAAAAGCTCTGCCTGTCACCCAGGGGAGCCAGACTACGCTTATATGGATTTTTTTTTCATCATCCAAATTTTAAAAATATGAAAAATGCTTGTAGAAACCACCTTCATCCAAGATCTACCCATTTGAAAACATTCCTGCACAATAAACAGCTCCTCTACTCGGCTGACACCACTCTTAATTTATCCGGATTTAGTTTTCTAACCAAAGGAAAGCAATGAGATAGGTTATATTGAGGTTATTTTGAAATATTTAATTGAAAAAGTAATATTGAACTCATTAAACAGTAACAGTAAATCTGCATCATCCCACCTCCTATCACAAACTGCTTTCATTTCTGCATTGTTTCCTACATACATCTTTTTTCAGAGCTACAAGCAAAGCTTTCGAATAATCGTATTCCCAGCTTTCTTTCCATTTATCAGGGTAGAAACCACCAGTCTAGAGACCAGATGGAAAGACCCCTAGAGAGTGCCAGAACACAATTTAACTTACCCTGTAAGTGTAGAAAATTCAATTTAAACTTTAAGCAGCAGTATTCTAGAAGGCCACAAGATAGTGATGTTGCTCCTTTAAATGAGCCATTTTTCCAAGATGAAAAAAAGAGGACACAAGGGGTAAAAAAGGATATAAGAAGGTTTTAAAGTGTTTATATTTGTGCCCTACCTGGTTTGGTTCAATGGATAGAGCCTTGGCCTGCAAACTAACGGGTCCTAGGTTCGATTCCGGCCAAGGGCACATGCCTGGGTTGCGGCCTTGATCCCCAGTAGGGGGCGTGCAGGAGGCAGCCAATCAATGATTCTTTCTCATCATTGATGTTTCTATATCTCTCTCCCTTCCTCTCTAAAATCAATAAAATATACTTTAAAAAAAGGTATCTAACTACAAATAAATAAATAAAAATAAAGTGTTTATATTTGGTTTACAAAAAAGCATTGTTAGAAAATCCAGTGAACACATTTTGCAAAGATGATCTTTTCTAGGCTAAACAACTGTGCATTTTTCAATTTTTAAAAAAAAAAAAAAAAAAAAAAAAAGACCAAGAACTTTGATCCCTGTCCTGTGTCTTTCTCTCTCAATCCACTTATCTTTCCTTTTATTTATTCTCCATTCCAGTTATATTTCTCATGTACTTACTAATTTTATTTGACCCATTCTTAACTTAAGAAGCAGGTTCTAGTCTGTTTTCAAAGAATTATACTAAAATGTACTAAAGCTACCTAAGAAGTATTCATTAAAATGTTAGCAGTGGTGGGAATAAGGGATTTCATTTTTGCTCGTTTTCTATTTTTTTTATAATTTCCCCCAAATTGTAACGTGCATGAACTAATTTTACAAGGGAAAATATTTAACATTTAAAACATAAGATACATTTACCAATATGGTAATTTTCCTTTTAGTCTACTACTTTAGAAAAAAAAGGTCTCCATTCCTATGCCACATAGTGTCATATAAGAAAATAAAGATTAATATAAATAACTAGAATTTAAAATGAATAAAATTAAACTAGAGAGAGAGAGCACACACACCCTGCCCCTCCAGCACTCCTGTCCATGTCCAACATTAAAGTGACCTGCCCAGAGCCATGTGGTTGGTCCTCAAGTTGAGATCTGAGCCAGGAACAAAAATCCTATGACATCAGCCCATATTTCCAGAACAATCTTCCTTCTAAATGTCACCATCATCCCCACTCTGCCCTGGGAAGACTGAGACTCCAGGACTTAAGTAAGTGGCTCCAGACAGCAGAGCTACCAGGAGCCAAAATTTGAACCCAGGCCTGGCTGGTCTGCCCTGAGCATCTGTGGCTTAAAGTGAAAAATGCCAGTTACAGAGGAAACTGCATGCAGGACTTCAGAGTAAGTCCTCAGGATATAACCCAAAGAATAAAATAGATATCCATAAGCCCACACTGACATAAATGGGGGAGAAGAGACAAATCCTTATGAAGAATTCCAAAAACCTTTAGGAGGTGAAGGTTAAATCCGACCCTTGATACGGGAGAAAGAATAGACTTTTCACAAATGTTGAATGGTGGGACAATTAGATATCCAATACAAAGGAATGAAGATGAACCCCCTCCTCACACCATATACAAAAATTAACTCTAAATAGATCATAAAAGCAAGCTATAAAACTCTTTTTTTAAAAGATAGCAATAAGTCTTCATGAACTTGGATTGGCAGCTTTTTTCAATATGACACCTAAAAGTACAGGCAACCAAAGAAGAAACAGATAAATTGAAAAAAATTTAAAACTTTTGTGAAGGATACTGTCAAGAAAGTTAAAAGAGTGTGGTGCAGTTGCTTGGGCGTTTCCTGTGCACCAGGAGATTCCCAGTCAAGGGCACATGCACCGTTTCAGGGGTTGTGCAGGAGGCAGGTGATTCTTGTGCTCTCACATCGATGTTTTTCTCTCTCTCCCTCTCCCTTTCTCTCTCTCTAAAAACCAATAAACTAATTTATTTTTATTAAAAAAATTTTTTGGTTAATCCTCACCTGAGGATATTTTTTCCATTGATTTTTAGAGAAGGGAAGGGAGGGAGGGGGATGGGAGAGGAAAAGAGGAGGAGAGAGAATGAGACCAATGTGAAAGACACATTAGCTGGTTGTTTCCCACATGTACCCCAACCAGGACTAGGAATGGATCAAATCTGCAACCCAGGTATGCGCCCTTGACCTGGAATGGAACCCATGACCCTTTGGTCTGCAGGTCAACATTCTAACCACTGATCAACACTGGCCAGGGGGGTGGGGGGAATCAATAAATTATTTTTTTTTAAAAGAAAGTTAAAAGGTAACCCATAGAATGGGAGAAAAATTTTGCAAATTACATATTTGATAAGGGTCTTGTATCTGGAATTTATAAAGAACTCTAACTCTGAAATAAAAAGGCAACCCAATTTAATAATGAGCAAAGGCTCTGAATTGGCCTTTCTGCAAAGAAGATATACAAATGGCTAATAAGCACATGAAATGTTCCACATCATTAGCCAAATGGGAAATGCAGAGCAAAACCACAATGAGATACTACTTAACACCACCGGGATGCACATCAGTCTCTCTTCTGGATTCATCCCCACCCTTCTAGAAATTTATTTTCTAGGTGTAAAGGGAAGGACTGAGAGGCAGCTACTTTAAGCCAAATGTGTATATTTTGAAAATTAAATTTTTACTCAGTAAAAGTTCAATAAATAAATAGAATTTTAAAAAGTGAAGCAGAAATGAATTAAAAAGATAAAAAAGCTTAACAGTTATCTTACTTGACTCGGTTTACACCCTTCCCTTAATAGTGTAATCCGGTGGTTTTAGATTGCTGTGGCCTCCAGTCACCCACTGATCCCAACCAGCTGTCATGCTGTTGGTCTGCACAAAGGAATCCCAGAAGTGTAAAGATGACCCAGTGTAAGGCCCAGTTCACACAATGTTAAGAACTGGCAGGAGCCTCTGAGATATCATCAGGTCTTTGGGAGGCAGTGTAATGGCCCCCAACAATGTCCAGTCCCGAACCCGGGAACCTGTGAATGTGTTACCTTACATGGAAAAGAAGAATTAAGTTTTCAGATGGAATTAAGGTTACTAAAGTAGATGAGCTTGGGTTATCCAGGTGGGGCCAATCGCAAGGATCCTAAAAAGCTGAAGAGGGAAGCAGAAGAGAGTCAGAGAAAGATGTGCTGATGGAAACAGGGTCAGAGGAATTCGACATTGCTGGCTGTGAAGATGGAGGGAGGGGGCCATGAGCCAAGGAATGCTGGAGGCCTCTAGAAACTGGAAAAGACAAAGAAATAGATGGTCTCCTCTAGAGTCCTCAGGAAGGAATACAGCCCTGCCCACGCCTTGATTTGAAACCACTGAGACCTGTATCAGACTTCTGAACTCCAGAACTGTAAGACTGTTACAAAGCTGTGTTGTTTTCAGCCACTAAATCTGTGCTAATTTGTTACTGAAACAATAGGAAACTAGTGGGAGGTCCAATCCCTTACTGGTGAGATTCTGAAAGAGGGGAGCCCTGCCTGGTGGCTGATGATGGATCGGCTGAATTACCTTCATGTATATGAAAGAGATACCATCAATGTCCACCAACACCTCTCTGAGCCGGTCACACCTGTGTAATGGGAACAGTGGTGAATTTAGCAAGGCTTCTTAAAAATAGATACGGGGGAGGAGACCAAGATGGCGGCATAGGTAAACACCGGAGACTGCTGCCGCAAACAACCACTTCAAAAATACAACTAAAAGACGGAACGGACATCACCCAGAACCACAGGAAGGCTGGCTGAGGAGAGACTCTTCAACTAGAAGGAAAAATAACAGCACACCGAGGCTCAGAGGAGGCGCAGTGTGGAAAAAACTCAGGTGCGGAGGTGCGCGCGCAAAGCGGGCTGGTGGCTGAGAGCGCGGTTGTCGTTTTCGGTCAGGGGGGAGTCTCAGACTCTGAGCTCCAGATACGGGCGAATCGCTGGGGACTCGGACCCAAACGGGAGAAGCGGGAGTGTCTGGCATCAGTTGGAAGGCAGCTTTCCCTCCGAGGTTTGCAGCGGTTCCGGGGGTTCTGAGAAGCAGAGCCTCTGGGAACGGGACTGAGAGGGGCCATAACCGCTCCCTCCGCCCGCCCGCCCTGTTGAGCCCGCCCCGCCCAAGCCCTGCGCAGAGCCATTTGCCAGATCGCCTCAGGCAAAGGCTAGATTAGCACCTCCCCAGAGGACAGAAGTTTTCCGCGGCAGACACAGCTGATTCACACAGCCAGTCGGCCTGGTGGTCA